TTGCCCCCATACCGGACCGGGGACCGGCAACGGGATCGGAACCCTCGGTGCTGCTCCCGCGCCTCGCTCAGCCAGTGAGCGGGAACTGGTCTGTATGTGGGATCCGAACCCTCAGGCGGGAGCGCCGCTGCACTCCCAAGTGGCCCACTCTCCAGTGCGCCACCGGGCCGGCCCATTTTTAGATATTTTTTAGCTGACTTGCATAAACCATATCTGGCCAGATTTTGTCTAGTCATGTTCTGTCCTGTCCAATCTCAGGGTGATAACTCATTCACTTTCATTGAGATTATCGATTTCAGTCTTGTTAAACTTGCCATTGCATAGTATGTTCCTATTTACCACACTTTCCTATTATTTCTTGCTTCCGGCCCCACCCCCTGCAGTTTTTAATTCCATTTCTTCCCTTAGGGATTTAGAAGGTGTATAGCGCTAGGATGTTTAAGGTGGGATGGAAGTTTTCTCCTAGTTAGTTAAATTTGGGAACTGTGAGAAAGTTAACTGTCAGGACCACTAAAGAAAAGTCCCAGATTTGGGGCAGAATTGAGGTACCAGGAGCCTGATTCCTGTCACCCCATGTGCCTCCTGGGCTTGTCCTCCTCCCATCCTGATAGTGTCCTCAGGGGATGACGGCCTGGGGCTCCCTGAGGGCTCTGTGTCTGTGATGGTCCCTGGAGGGCCTGCCACCCAGGCTGAGCCAGGGCTGCTGACTGCAGGTTACTCTAAGCAGCTTCCTAGAGGTGCACACGCCACTGCATTCCCCAGGCTCCTGTCCTGAGGCCTGGGGACAGCTTGTTTATCAGAGAAGGATAAAGAGTCCACTTTATTGGGGGTGGGTGTGTGCTCCTGAGTGTGGTGATTCTCTGGGATGATCTCCACCCAGCCACGCAGCTCCATCAAGCTCACCCCCTTGTGTCTGCGGGTCTTCTGCAGAGGTGGGGCCTCCTGTGTGCTTGCACGTGAGTACTGCGTGCATCTCCTGTGTATCCTTGTGATGTGCCCTGTGCTGGTAGAGTTGGTGAACAAGTTTTACTGCTCTTGCTGCTGCTGTTGCTGCGACTGCAGCTGTCTGGTCCTGTGCGGGGCAACCCTGCCAAGAGCCGCTTTAATGG